GAGACATCTCTTCACCGTCAGAGTCTGTCTCACTACACCCGGCAGCCACCAACACAGTCGTCCCCCTTGACCCGACCGTTTTCACAACAAACTCTCCTCCTGCTTGGGGAGACTCAACATCCTCCTGTTCTTCATCATCTTCAGAACGAGGAGTGTCTCCTTCATTGTCATTGACATCATCCTCTTCAACACCTTCAGAATTTTTACCCCCTTCACCACCCTGCTCTGCACCCTCATCATCAACACCCCCCCACCAAGGCATCCTTCAGACACTCAGCTGCAACCTTCTCAACATCAACCTCAGTGGTTTTACCCCCATTACCAGCATTACCAGCTGCAGAATTAGCAGCTGCACCGTCACCACTGCTTTCAAACAAATCATTCTCCTTCCCATCTGTTTTATCCACCTCCACCATACCGGAATCAACCACAAATTCAGGTTTTTTATTCCCATTCTTATTCCCATCTGTTTTATCAACCTTAGAGTGTTTTTCCTTCGGTAAAGTTTTCTTACCAGCCCCTTTCACTGGTTGCTCAGTCGTTGCCGACGCGGCCAGACTCGCTTTGAACATTTCATTCATATTATATAGTATTGTACCCATTTTGTCATCAATTGCATCCATGAACTTTGGAGTCAAATCAGCCACCACTCTAGAAACCACCTGCATAGATAAAGAGATTCCATAAAGAATTAACTATGAAAGACATCCAACCAACCATGAATGAAAATATTTTTTATCCGTAAAATGAAACTATTAATAGAAAACTATAGTGGGAAACCAGATCAAGAGCCATGATCAATTACAACACCAAAAACTCCAGGTCTTAATAAAGCAAATAAAAAAATAATAATAAAAAAAATAAAATAAAGAGACAGACCTGCTCAGTGATCCCATCCACAACAACAGCGGTTGCAGGTGCAGCTGATTTCCGTGGGACTGGACCTTCACGGGGTGACAGCGGATGGTCCTCACCGTATGCAATATTCAAGGACTGCACAGAAAACAAACTTAATCAAACGAAACACAATACACAATGATGTCAACTAGTCAAGTAAGACCACAATAATTTTAACACTTACCAGCGACAGACCATAGTCCCCCGTCTTATTTTGGTCCTCTTTAACAACTACGCTGATTTCTTCCTGTGACCAGGCCGCCAATCTCGGAGTCATCCCCTTAGACTTAGGTACCCGATCCAGATGGTCAATATAAAAGATCTACAACATATATGCATTAAAGATTATGTCAACAACTAATCATAAACAAGAGCAATCCCTTCACGTGTAACAATCTAAAACATTATTCAACAACAATTTATAAGATACAGTACTACATTGCTTACCAACGCAAACAAAATGCAACCTCCACCGCCTACAACATAGCCTCTTGCATCAAATTTCTTCTGGAATTTCCTAGCTGCTGCGCACATCCAAGAATAAGTCAAACTGCACCAATTGTAGTTTGCAGCATCATTGTAAGCAGTGAGAGCAGGTCCCAAAGCTACTGCCAGATTTGATGTGTTTGTGGTGGTACACAGTATGTACCCAAGAGCAACAACCAGAAATGCAATCTTAAACTCAGACTTTTCCTTGTCTGTTTTAATAGGTAACAACTTCCCTTTTTTGTCAACATGAACTGTGGCAGCCGCAACTGCTGCCACAGGAATTCTCTCCCCAGGCTTGCCAAACAGTCCAGAAATTCGCTTCCACTCAGCTTTCATCACTTCATCATCCTCCGGAATGGTAGATGGAACTAGCTTGGAACCCATGGGTATACCAAGCACCCACTCCACCTGAGCTGGACAGAGAGGACATACATAATCATCTCCAAATACCATGGAACCATCTCCATCAATCCTTAACAACAGCCAGTAAGCAAATTTACGAGGCAAATGATCCAGTGGCATGCTTAACAGCCCACCAAACCCCATTTCAGTCACCAAATCCTTCCTCGTTTTATCAAACTGCTTAACCAAAGTTCCAAATGCCTTTACACCATTCAGATTAAAAGCCTACACAATACAAAACAGTTGCATAAACAAGTTGATCTCATTCCAGATACATATCTAAGCTTGTCCTAATACCTCAACACACTATCACTTTAAGATAATGGTGGTACATTTATTTTCACATGGATTACCTTAAATGCATAGACAACTGAAACATATTCAAGCAACATATCTAAGATATTCATACATTTATACATAAACTACAGTAATGGGTCATTTATACACTTCTTTTCCCATTATTATTACTTGGCATCATTTTCAACAATATGATAATCAATAATCACCACTGAGTACACAAATGGTATATTCCAACAACCTCAAATGTATCACCTAGACTGGGTTTTAACAACCAACACACGAGTCAACACAGTTAAGAGATTACCTTCTGAGTCCTTCTAGAATGGGTTTTAACAACCAGCTCTTCCTCCTTCACTAACTCACCTTGGTTTTTCTGAAAAATAACAAGGATTTTTACCATGAATGAAATTAACTTCACAATATTTACAAAATACCATGCACACAACAAGAATCACAACCATTACCTTCGCCTTTTTTGCTGTTTTGTTTACTGATTTGCCACCCTTCCTCTTTCCTTTAGGAAGCCATTCCTGCAGCAACTGCAAACAGAGTTCTTGCAGCTTGTCATTTTGTAGACCAGAAGGAGGAGTATCATCCTCTTCTTCCCCACCCTCACCACCGTCTCCCTCATCTGATGCATCTGAATCATCCTCTTCATCAGATTGTTGATCTTCAGAGCCCTCCCCAATACTGGTATCCCCCAATTCCTCTTTCCCAAAATCAGGATCTGCATCAGAATCAACATTAACCTTCTTCTTGCCTTTATTAGCACCTTTGGGTTTAACCCCATCATTCACCTTCACTGATTTCCCCTACAACCCAAAAAATTACAGAAATTTACAGCAACTAAGTACACATAAACCGTAAACAAACAAAAAAATACAATCAACACAAACACATCAACTTACCACATCCTTTCTACGAACAATACCACTTCCACTGGCTTCAGATTTCCTCTTAGTCATTATCCAATCCTGCCTCAAGCACTTAATTACTCATCCATTTTTACACAACCAATGGAATCAATAACCTTCATTTACACACTGAATTCGTCCTAAATTAACCAATACCTCTAAAAAAGAAATTCCAAGCAGCTGAGGTCTAGAATAAAGGGAGGACATCATTACCCTACTAATAAGCCCATATTTTAACATACTCAACATTCATTCGATATACAAACTCAACCTCCTCATGCATGAATAACTAAATAACAGAGTGTAAAACGCATCCAACTAAGATCCACAACACACTTCAATTTTTTTGAGTTAAACCCTAATCACAAACCCTAGATGATTAGCTTTTCCCAGAGTTCGAAGGTAATAAGACTAAAAAACCATTTTATACTAAACAATTTCACCACAATTACAATTGACATTAGCGAAAACTAACCACAAACCCTAAATGACATGCAATTCCCAAAATTAAAAGGTAAAAATCGCAACAAACATTAAATTCGGCTCAATTTCACCAAAAATTACATGAAAAACACTCACAGACGCAAATTCATACTAATTCAAACCCTACCATCGACCACGTTAAACACCAACACAAATTATACAAAGCCCGCAAAATGCACAATTCAACGACTTACCTGGGAAGATAGGAATTCACCACTTCACTTGAACTAACAACAGCCGACGGTATGCTCTGAAGAAGCCCGCAAACGACAGAGGAAGAAAGAGGAGAAGAAACCAGAGAACTTAAGAGAGAGAAGCAACTAAGTAAGAAGAGAGAGAAATAATTAAATGACAGAGAGAGAGAATGAAACAAAAGGTGAATTACAATTTTTCAACTATCCCGTTATAATTCAAAAAATAACGGAGTCAATAATAAAGTCAACACTTTAAATAAAAGAAAACATATTGCTTTTATTGAGTCAGCTAGGCGAATTTACTGATATTCCCTCCTATTTACAATCTTTGTAAATAGTCCCTATGCGCCTAGATGGACTCAAAGTTAACCATGCATTGTGGAATTTGTAAGCTGTAAATGGTTATTCTAGGGATACAATAATCATCTAATTTGATGCTAAAAATTGACTTTATTCTTATTTTAGAAAGTAGGGCACCTTGACTAACAAAAGAATTCAACATACATCAGTCTTGATTGTTGGAAAATTTAATTCTCCAAAACTAATGTAAATCATGGAGGTGAGTTTTCGATGTAGTTTGAAACTTTAAATGGATACTATTTTAAAAATCAAAGTTATTTAATGATATTAGTAGTAGAAACGGTAAAATTAATCAATATTCTCATATCCTATATCGCCGTAACAATATACCATGGCTTCTAGGTTCGAAAGTGGAAGCCGACTCGTTAAATAGGGGAAGAAGAAGGGTGTTAAACACTACTTTAATGGATCAAACAACTAGACTTGTTACTATTATCTCCAATTTAAGAATAAAATTAGGATAAGTTACAAATGTACCCTTACTAATAACTTTATTCTTCTGATTTTTTTTTTCTTTTAGTTCTCTTTTCATTAAAGGTACACATGTCTTTTCCATTATAATCCCCATTTCCTCCCCTTATACGGTTATACCAACCCCCCTAGGTATAGAAGTTGAGGGATAAGAAAGGTTTAATCCTTGTCTCATCCCCCTCTTTAATCTCGGTCCTTTCCCAAAATCCCCATCCCTCTTCTTTTATCCCCTAAACACACATGTTGTTAAGAGTCTTACGACAAAGAAAACCTAGAAAACGACAATATAAAAGGGCAATATATACCGCAATATGTAAGGGTGGGGAGTAAGTTGACTATGGGAGGTATCACCTTCTAAGGTGCAACATGTATGTGTCAAGGCGCATTATAATTCTGATCTTCATAGTACCAAATACGGAGTAACAATTAACAAGCAACAACTTACATATCAATGTACAATAGGCCAAAGGTCCTCCCTCCATCATATAGTATAATGCAAATATGTAATAAAATCTATATAGTGCTATGATTTTCCATCAATAGAAAGATGCTTCTTTTCTTAGGTTTTTGTTTTAGTGCTCGTTTTAAGTCAAGCAACTAGTACCACTACTCACTTTCTATAGCTTATAAACTCAAATCAAGGCTTTGATTGTTGTTGTGATACGAGCTTAAATCAAAATCATTGATCCATCCTTATTGCTAAGTCTAGTGTGAGTAAAGTTGGTTAAGAGAGAAAAAAGAAACTATTATACACAACAATCAAGTAAATTTCTCTAACGAGGTTAGTTTGCCTAATTTATCTAAGCTATTTGTTGATTTGTAAATTGTTTCACTTAATTATATATCAGTATAATAATTTATGCATATGAGGTCAATAAATCGATATATATGAGCTTAATTAGGTTTCTTTTTGTTCTACTTGCTAGCGTATCCCAAGGTTTTCAAGTTTTAAAAATAATTATAGTCGATTAAATCATGTAAATTAATACCATAAAATCATGTTAATAAATAGCTTAAAAGTTACAATATGGGTATAACATTGTGCAAGAATTGTGTATGGGTAATTGTTTTGCAAGGTGTGTATGCTTAAGTAATCAACTTACCAACCAAAGAAAGAACTAAATCAAGCAATTAGATTAATCAGTAAGCTTGAGATTTTAATGGATTCCTCAGAATTTTATGCATCGTCTCTGAAATTGAAGTAAAATCAGAAATGTATGGAGCACATAAAATTCAGTAGATCTAGATGTTGACTTGAAAAAAAATCTGGTAAAAACATGATGATAATTTGCAGAGCAATAAATTTATTGATGACCAAAACCATTTGAACTTGTCAGAGAGGTTACAAATTACTGTTGTAGAACTGTACTATCATAGTACTGTTATTACTAATTCTCTTATCCATCTCTATAAGATTGTCTCATTTTTATCGGAAATATTTTAATTATTAACTACGCCGTAATAAAAATTAAAAAACTAACTATCCATTTAACAATACGAATATGATATGGCAATATATGATTGCACCAAAAAAAAAAAAAAAACAAGGACAACTCTTTTATTAAGGTGAAATATAAAATGAACAAAATAAATAAATAAAATGAGTTAAAAAATCACCTTTGAATGCACCTAGTTCTGATTGCATCCAGGTGCATGTATAAAATAATTATTGTGAAGTACTCCGTAATCAAGTAAGAGATACGGAGTACTCCTATAAGATATACGTAGTAATTAATACAGAGTATCAAATAATATACAAAGTACGGAGTATATTTTAGTATTCCACGTTATCAGGAAAATGTATCAGTAGGATTATTTATGTTAGGATATGATCAACTAAATTATACGGAGTATCAACTTAATAGTCCTAAAATCTTACCAAAATATAAAATAAAAATCCTAAAAATATTATTTTCCTAATTTCAATATGAAAAATAAATGAAACAAATATATTTTTTTGATATTGATTATATCTCGTATCTCAACCAAATAAGAACATGGGACGATATATAAGGGGCGAAGGGTGAAGGCCTAAAGGGAGTACATACATCATTAGGTACCAAAATGAATTTGGTTGATCAAACCTTCAACCATATAACATAACACAAGGAAGAAAATCATCCAAACCCCACATAATAAACTGCGACATTAACATCACAAGTGTCAAATTTCTTGATTTTCTCTCTTTATATGTTAAGGAAATCGGGGGTATATTATCGACAAACTAATTAGTGTATCAACCGTCAATCAAGGTAATACTATTTAACTATTTTGCATGTTTCTTCCTCTCTTTTCAATATTTTTTTTAAATAATTTGATGTAACTACGTAAATTGTATTTCTGTCTTTTCTCAAGACTGAACCCGAGTTTGTATAATAATATGACTCCATAGTCCATATAGCTCACTCTCACATTGAATCGAATTTTGTATTTTTGATTGTTTTACTGTCTAATGGTTGTAACTAGGTTAAAGTTAGTGTATGATAAAGTTTTCAATGCATGCTTAATTTATTAGGAGAAACCATTTAAACAAAACAAGGCAATGCAACATTCAATAAAATTCCAAGCTAATTTTGTTACATTAAATTATAAATGTCTTGTAGCTTGCTACTATTATATTGTTATTACTAAATTTAAACTATGATTTTGTGATTTTTTTCCCTTACAATCTTTTGTAGGTGTTGAGGAAATAAGAGAAATGGATTTTGAAAGTTTTTCCCAACAACCAAGAGGTTAGATAATTTTTGTTTTTGTACTTGAATAATGAAATTATACGTAACACGAATTAATTAAGATACGTGATCACATTGTTCGTATGTAATTTGTAGAATTGGAAAGAGTGCAAAAAGAGCATGATGAAAAAACTAAAAGGATTGAAGACTTGAAGAGCCAAATCAATGACGCGAAGCGTGAATTAGAGAAGAACGAGAAGGAAGAAGATGTCAAGAAAAGGGAGAGCTTCAAGAGTCTCACTCAAAATTACAACCAGCTGAGGCAAGAATTTGATAAGATGTGATTTACTAAGACATGTTGAGTAATAAAGTTAATTAGGTTTCTATATTGGAATTAAGTAGCTAAATGCTAGTTAATCAAGGATCAATTTAGAGATGATTGATACTTGATTATTTGTGTTTGAGATTAGAATTGTAGTATTTGTAGTTAGGTCTATCAATGCTAACATATTTACTCGTATGTACTAAACTATGCATATTAATAAGTGTAGTATGAATTGAGTAGAATAAGATTATGTGACCTTAATTTGAGTGCAAAATTATGTGACCTTAATATAGGTGCAAAAATTATGTGACTTTATATATGATTAACTGATTATTGTGCTAGCTAGTTAAATAGTTAATTACTTAATTGCATTGATTTGTTGGAGTGAATTATATATTTAGACTTTTAGAGTATCTTTATAAGTGGAGCAAACTATACTCCTAAAGCTCGACACAATTAGAGAGGTAGTTGAAATTATTTTGTCATTGAGTTGATGTTCTAAAGGCCTAGTTTAATTTAGTAATAAAAGTCTGTATTCATTTTGAAAATTATATCTATAAATCATATTTTGGACTTAGGTTATATGGTGTAATATAATGATATGAATATTCTAAGGTTCAAATTTATTATTATCTTGATGTACAAGATACAAAATTACTAATTAAGTTGGATTTTTTTTAATTTGTCTTTTAATATATAGTCCGTAATTAACAATAAATGGCAATAAGAAGATACGATCCCAATTTATTTATTTTGGTTTGATTATAACAAGGTTCGATGCATGTGTGGTGTGAGGACTGAGGAGTCATAGGCCAACCATCTCTTGTATAGTTGTATCATTCAAAGAAAAAAAAATAATGAAATGAAATTGTAAAGATATTGTTATCGAAAAGATTTTATCCTACTTTGTAATTCTTAAGTACCATTTCTAAAGTTTATAACTAAGCTAGTTGACATTCACAAAAACAATAAAACATACACTAGTGTTGACATGCAGTGATAACTGATAAGTGTATGCGCAGACTATGGGCTTTTTAGAAAACTGTATGTTATTTTTTTGATATTGGGCTAGCAAGATTTTTTGTACGGCTAAATGATGGCCCAGTATAGGAAACCAAGCCTTTTTCAGCTCCTACTTATACTTTTTTTTTTTTTTTTTTTTTTTTTTTTTTTTTTTTTTTTTTAACATACTCCTACTTATACTTCTAGGTTCTAGCTGTTTTTCTCATTAATTAATCTTTTGATGAGAGCATAACTTCTTTTCTAACAATTAGTTGCATAAATAAGTTTCTACATACACAAAAAAGTTACCATGTACTTCCTCCGTTCTTTTTTTTATTGTACCATAAGGGATTTCACGCTTGCCAATGCATTACTTTAGCTATCAATATCTTCAATTATACTTTTGTAAAAATTATAAAAATTTGATATTTGAAAAGTAGAGTTCGATACGAATCTAACTAGATCCCACATGTCTGTATTTTTCCTAATGTATAAATCACAAATGATGGTCAAAGAAGATTAAGTAAATAGTGTAAAAGTCCTAATGGTGCAATAAAATAAAAACGGAGGAAGTACATAAAATAAGTTTTTCTTATTATTACTTCTGGCAAAGGTAGATAGAAATACCTTACTGAACCGACACTCCTAACAAATTAGCTTAGTCCAGTTTCACTGGTCAGATTTGCTAAGTGTGTAACAAAGGACAAAGAAGATTGTCTTATTCGACGTAGTTCATAAAACCACGTACATTTGTACACACATACATTACATATAAACACCCCTTGATTTCATTAGAAACCAAGGTAGCCATACTTAGGTTGTTGATTTGGATGAAAAAGCCCAAAGTTACGCTCAGTTTCAGGCCCTTGTTTTTCATTTTCATCAAACATTGCAAACACGTAAGTCTCAATAGGTTGCCCTGGTGTTAAAGGAGTCCCTTGCTTCGCATGGTTGATCAAGTTTCTAGTGTAGGTCTTGGCGTTTTCCAACGTGGCACCAAATCCTCCGTTGGATGGCCATCCGCTCTCGGATGCAATGACACGTCGATGATGATGTCCACCCGCCCTCCGTAGAGCTGCATACACTGAATCTACCATCGCATCATATAAATTTTGGTAACGTAACCCGTTATTAGGGTCCGTAAAAACATAACCAGGTGAAGTAAACAAGGCATAGTCTAGTGAAATATCTTTTGGGTCATTAGCATATGCAAAGTAAGGGTAAACATTAACCAACAAAGGCGAATCATGATTATTCATGAAGTCAATTATTGGGGCTATATACGACGGGTCCTTAAATTGGCCATTAGATGGTGGGTACGAGTTTGTTATTAGGTTTGCATTAATCGCCGTTGAAACTTTAATTTCATCGTTTTGGTTGTTTATATTTAGTACGTCTAGTGCATACTGAATGTTTTGCATAGCTGGTGCGACTGATGATCCTGGTTGACTAGACGGGTCAACTTCATTTCCCACGACTATGTAACTAATCGAGGATCGATAGGGGAGGACGTTGGCTCGGACCCAACGGTATGCAGCACAACGACACGATGCTATGGACCGAATATTTTCATTTGCGACTCCTATCATGAGTTTGATGTCTGTTCCTTGTAAAGCTTGAAGAGTTTGTTGATCCGGAAAGTAAAGCCTCATTGCTTTTATGTTGTTAGATCTGTAGAGGTTCACCACATCTCGTGGTGATGGTAAGTTGTTAGCAATCTTTCCATAACTTACTCCAACTTGTGCCTCTGCCATTGATAATATCACAAAATTAAACATCATTAGTATACATACGTTTTAACAGTTTATACTAGGTTTTAGTCAAACCACTACTTAACGAAAATATATGAATGTTTTGATAATATAGTGGTTGGGATAGCTTTTAGTGACGGAGATAGCTTTTATATAAAAATTAGTAGTATTAGCTTTTGAAATTAAATTAAAGGTAACTTTTAAGGTAGCTATTGAAAATTTAATCTATAGGTTTAAATGTAAAATATTGATTTTTATATGTAACAGGTAGTCAACTGTTATTTTATCAGACATTCATACTTAAATTATTTATTTTCACAACTAACATCTTGTTGACGGCTAACAACTACCTTCAATAAAATTTGGTTCGCTATCTTTTCCTAAAACCTAATATAGTCTAGTCAAAGTGACTACAATTCATAAGTTATAAAAGTATATCCATCTTATATTTGTTGGAGACAGCGGAAGTATAATGGGTGATTGGATAAGATTAATAAGTAATATTTATAAACTATATGAGAAACGAGTAGAGCTGCCGCACCTACTTATATTTATTCTTGAAAATGAAATAATACCGAAGAATATGTTTTCTTTTATTATATTCTCTTATATTGAAAATGATATCAATTATAGTTTATATAGGAAAAACTCATCCTAAATAAGTAGTGATAGAAAATTTAGGAGCATTATATGCTTTACATTTTATTTAGGTTTTACTATTTTATTATTAGTTTTTCTTAATTTTACTTATCTTAATATAGTTTATACATTGCACAATTAACTTTTATCTCACAATATTATGTTATTATTTGATAATCGCAACAATTTACTTTTACATTATCAAGCGTTGTGCAACAAGCTTTAATTCATTGTGTCTTTTCTCTAGCTCATAACCTAGCCGCCTTCCTAGTAAAAAAACAACCATGCATGTTTAGTTGCAGATTTGATGATGGCAATATATAAATTAAAGATAATAAGAAATAGTTACCTGTTGGACGTAGGCTGAGCAATAAGAATGATGCGATGAACAGCAAGGTAGTGGCCGCCATTCGAGGAACGTTAAGGGTAGCCATGGCATTCATAATTACTAATGTTGTGTAGTGTTAATTAATTTCTTTGATAGTTTTTACTATAAGGTTGTTTGATTTGCCACTATATATAGTCATATAGCAAGCACGCAACCCAACTCGATAGTTTGGATACACATACACATCAACTAGCTAGTGGAGGAATAATGCAAATATGCTCCCTCCTAAATGGATAGTTACACCATCGAGGATAGGATACAATATAAAAAGTGAGACATGTGTAGGAAAAAGTAAGAATGACGACTATAAATAGGATTTTTGAAAGACAAAAATATATTAAAGAGAATGTAGTAACTGAAATTATGTGTAAGAAACATTTTAAAGATTGAGAAATACAGTATAAAAAGTGAGACATGTATAAGAAAAAGTAAGAATGACGACTATAAATAGGATTTTTGAAAGACAAAAGTATATTAAAGAGAATGTAGTAACTGAAATTTTGTGTAAGAAACATTTTAAAGATTGAGAAAAAAAATTGTTTCAATAAATAAGGAATAAAGTTAATTAATTTTGCTCAACCTAGCAAACTTATTAGCTAAGTGCTGTTATATTGCTTCCTTGACTACTTAAGAGTCTTAAAGATGACATTATCTAATTAAAATGATAAAGCATGTTGATTTATTAGGATAAACATTTTTTTTTTTTTTTGAAAGAACCACTATTATAAACTCGGACATATACCCAAATGATGTATGGCATCCATTGACCCAAGCACGCACATCACTCATACAATGTTATGTACATCTGGTTTAAGCTAAATTATTCGAATATACATACATAAAGGTCTCGAATCTGGCTTGATTGTAACAAATTTTCTGGTGGAAGAACTGAAGCAGCTAGTATAAGGCAATTAAGTGTGTGTATAATGGTGTTAGCAAGCACTTAGCAATGAAGTAGATGGACATACTAGTACAAGTCAAGAGTCAAGAGTAGTAGTGGAATGCCCACTTGAAAATTTGAATATTGGTCTTCTTAAGTGCTTGTGCGCAATTAGCCTTCAGTGGCCTATATTATGTCCAATTTGAGGATTGTTAACTGGCTTAAGCTCTTATAGTATGCAAGAAAAGTCATATATAATTAGTTTTAAATAATCCAATTGATATATCATATGTTTTGTGTTACAATATAATATCTTAATTTAATTAAATATCTTGCATACTTAAGATCAAGCTAACATTATAAGGAAGAAAGATGGTTTTATTTATTTATTATTATTTTTTAAATGATGCTTGCTACTCCAGTGGACTAACCATTCATCTCGCGTGCTACCAAATAGAAATCCCTCAAACAAACTAAGCCTTTCAAGGTTTATATTAGAGCTGTCAAAAGTTACCCCATTCGAAATACCGACTCAAAATCGATTATTAATCGAACCATCTGAACCCGAAAAAATGGTGACCCAAACCCGACCTTACCCGACCTGAAACCAACCCTAGACCCGATTTGACTCGAGTATGTGAGATCCGAACCCGAACCCGAACCCGAACATGAACTGACCTGAAGATGACCGGACCCGAATGTAACCTGTAAATTATTGACTTGAAACGAACCTGACTTAAACCAAAATTGACCCAAACCTGTTTTAACCCGTCAAAACCCGAATTTAACCCGACTTGTTACTAACTTGACCTGAATTCAAACCCGACCCGTTCCTAACCCGACACGAATTTAACCCAACCATTTACAAACCCGACCCGAAATCAACCCGAATTGTTATTAACCTAACCCAAATTCAACCCAATTTGGTATTGACTCGACTCAAATTTTACCAGACCTATTACTAACTCGACCAAAAAATTCAACTTGATCTGTTACTAACCCGACTCGAAATCAACACAACTTGTTATTGACCCGACCTAAATTCAACCCAAATTGTTCCTGACCCAATTTCAAATCACCTTAAATGCAATTTAGACCACCTTATTATTGTTGATCAAAGCATTTTGTCTAGGGAGACCAAGTCGGTCAAGGACAGCAAAAGAAAGGAACATCTTCCTAAATTATAGACTATAGTTCCCTTGTATATTGCCATATATATTATAGTCAAAGGAAATAATTAGCTTGATAAAAATGATATTTATCTATTTATAGTTAGTTGAACCTGTATATGACCTGACTTGGAAATGACCCGACCTGATTGTAACCAGCAAATTATTGACTTGAACATAACCCGACTTGAATCCGAGAATGACCCGACTTGGAAATGACCCAACCTGATTATAACCCCTAAATTATTGACTTGCATCGAACCCGACTTGAACCCGAGATTGATCCGATTTGAAAATGACTCGACCTGATTATAACCCAAACCCGATAAGAAGTATGACCCGACGTAACCCGACACAAGCATGACCCAATACAAACCCGACCCGCATAGGTTATGGCCGGAATTAATCCGAATTGACCCGACCCCAGTTGAATTGACCTGACCCATTCTTACCGATCTGAACCCGACCCATTTACCTGAATTGACAGCTCTACCCGAAACCTCCAAAATTTCTCAAAAAGCGTGGATATTAGCCTTCAATTTTGGAATTTTTTAATTTTTTTTCACCCGAAAATAAAAATTGCTGAAATGTTTACCATGGTTCCTAATACCCTCAGGGAGTCCAATTGGCTGGGTGGAACCATCAAATTTGCCTTTAAACGACCAATTTACCAGAGTACAACTTGCACCGATTTCATTAACTCAAGCCTACCACGAACATTTATAAAAACATATAATGATCATATATGATTCCAAATGGCATTTTATGACCCCGAGATGTATCCCTTAAAATCTCAAAGCTTTTCGACACCGGGCCCCGAAACAATCGAAATTTCTCAAAAAGCGTGGATATTAATCTTCAATTTTTGAATTTTTTGACTTTTTTTGCCGGAATATAAAATTTGCCGAAATATTTACCATGGTCCCTAATACGCTCTGGGAGTCCAATTGAGTAGGTGGAACCATCCAATTTGTCTTTAAACGACCAATTTACTGGTTTACAAATTGCACCGATTTCATTGATTCAAGCTTACCACGAACATTTATGACAACAAATAATGATCATATATGATTCCAAACTACATTGTATGACCCCGAGATGTATTCCCAAAAATTGCAAGACTTTTCGACACCGGACCCCGAATATTCCAAAAATTCTCAAAAAGCGTGGATATATATATAGCCTACAATTTTTGAATTTTTTGACTTTTTTTCGCCTGTAAATAAAAATTTCCAAAATATTTAACATGGTCTCTAATATCCTCCGGGAGTCCAATTGGGTGGGTCGTGGAACCATCCAATTTGAATTTAAATGGCCAGTTTATCGGTTTACAACTTGCGCCAATTTCATCAACTCAAGCCTACCATAAATATTTATGACAACATAATGATCATATATGGTTCCAAACGACATTATATGAACCCGAGATATATCCCCTAAAATCTAAAGGATTTTCGACACCGGGCTTCAAAACCTCAAAAATTTCTCAAGAAGCGTGGACATTAGCCTTCAATTTCGGAAATTTTTTTACTTTTTTTCGCCCGAAAATTTAAAATTGCTGAAATGTTTACCATGGTCCCTAATACCCTCTTGGAGTCCAATTGGGTGGGTGGAACCATCCTATTTGCCTTTAGACTGCCAATTTACCGGTTTACAATTTGCACCAATTTAATTAACTCAAGCCTACTACGAATATTTATGACAACATATAACAATCATATATGGTTCCAAACGGAATTATATGACCCCAAGATGTATCCTCTAAAATCTCAAAACTTTTTGACACTGGGCCTTGAAACATCTCAAATTTCTCAAAAAGCGTGGATTTTAATTTTGGAATTTTTTTTTGACTTTTTCACTCTAGAAAAAAAAATTCTGAAATGTTTACCGTGGTCTCTAGTACCCTCCGAGAGTCCAATTGGGTGGGTGATACCATCCAATTTTCCTTTAATTAAACGACCAATTTACCGGTTTACAACTAACTTGCACCGATTTTATTAACTAAAGACTACCACGAACATTTATGACAACAAATAATGATCATGTATGGTTCCAAACGACATTATATGACCCCAAGATATACCCTAAGAATTTCAAGCCTTTTTGACACCGGGCCTCGAAACCTCCAAAATTTCTCAAAAAGCGTGGAATTTCTCGAAACCTTCAATTTTGGAATTTTTTGACTTTTTTTTAGCTCGTAAATAAAAATTGCCGAAATGTTTACCGTGGTCCCTACAACCCTCCGGGAGTTCAATTGGCTGGGTGGAACCATCTAATTTGCCTTTAAACGGCCAATTTACTGGTTTTAACTTGCAACGATTTCATTAACTCAAGCCTAACACAAACTTTTATGACAGCAAATAATTATCATATATGGTTCCAAATGACTTTATATGACCCGAAGATGTATTCCCTAAAATCTCAAGGCTTTACAACACCGGGTCCCAACACCTTCAAAATTTCTTATAAAACTTGGATATTAGCCTTCAATTTTGGAATTGTTTGAATTTTTTTTCGCTTAGAAATAAAAATTGCCGAAATTTATACCATGGTCCTTAATACCCTTCGGGAATCAAATTGGTTGGGTGTAACCATCCAATTTTTCTTCAAACGACCAATTTACCGGTTTACAACTTGCACTGATTTCATTAACACAAGCCTACCATGAACATTTATGACAACATATAATGGTCATTTATGGTTTCAAATAGCATTATATGACTTCAAGATGTATCCCCTAATATCTCATTTCTTTTCGTCACCGGGCCCCGAAACCTTCGAAATTTTTCAAAAAACGTGGATATTAGCCTTCAATTTTGGAATTTTTTGACTTTTTTTTGCCCAAAAATAAAAATTACCGAAATGTTTACCATAGTCTCTAATACCCTCTAGGAGTCCAATTGGGTGGGTGGAACCATCCACTTTGCCTTTCAACGACAAATTTATCGGTTTACAACTTGCACCGATTTCATTAACTCAAATCTACCACGAACATTTATGACAAAAATAATGATCACATATGGTTCCAAACGACATTATATGACCATGAGATGTATACCCTAGAATTTCGAGACTTTTAAACTAGACTCCAAAATTTCTCAAAAAGGTGGATATTAGCGTTCAATTTTTGAATTTTTTGACTTTTTTTCGCCCGGAAATAAAAATTGGCGAAATGTTTATCATGGTCTCTAATACCCTCCGGGAGTACAATTGGGTGGGTGGAACCATCCAATTTGCCTTTAAAAGGCCAATTTACTGATTTACAACTTGCACCGATTTCATTAACCATTCATCTCGCATGCTACCAAATTCAAATCCCTCAAACAAGCTAATATATATATATATATATATATAGACACACACACACACTACAACAAAATAAAGCAAAGATAACAGTGCAAAACCATTGCCTAATATAAAAAAAATGTTGCCTTGTAGCTAAGACAACACATATGAGGCGTAATTTATGCCCCCGTTGTCTATTCATAAGGCAACATATTTTTATTCAAAGGCAACAATTTTAAAAGACAAGGTAAAATGATACATAAGGCAACACTTTTACTAAGACAACAAATGAAAAATGTTGCCATCTAAGGAGATAATTCAAAAATGTTTCTAAATGTTGTGACTCTTAAGCATTTAGTAGTTGGTAGGGCTCGAACTTGTGACCTCAAAGTCACAAGGTGAGGTCCCCACCAACTCCACCGAATATATATGTATATATATATATATTTGTCTTTTTAATATAAATTTAGCCATAGATGGCAACATAGATATTAATGTTACATTTTCAAACAATAGTTTTGTTATTGTTATCTTTTCATGCAACAATTATTATATGTGTTGTCTTAGACAAGAAAAAGGTAACACTTTAAGCGACTGTTGCCTTATATAGTTTAGAGCAACACTTTTTTTTTCTGTTACTTTAGTTCAAGGTAACAAATCAATATTGTTGCGTTAGATTATTAAGAGTAACATTTCTGTAATTGTTGCAATCTTAAGTGTTTCCTATTCTTATTTTTTTTGTAGTGATATATATATATATATATATATATATATATATATATTAAAATTAAATAATTAATTGTTTAAATATATATCTATCAGGCCAAGGGGATGGCTATGGTGTCCCCTTAAATTACCTAAAATACCCTTAATTTGTTCTTCCTCGATCTTTTAAAAGGATCGGTGTATGTAAATTTAGAAGCCTAAATCACGTATCACATGCATATAAATCTATATTTCTTATAACAAAACTCAGTGCGTTAAATAATTGAGCCCTAATTAGTTTTACTATTGTTAGTCTATTATGTTCTTACCTCTAAATATGATGATGTGCTTTTTGGAAAGGGTGTACGTAATACCTCAAATCATCTTAATTAGCCAATTGAGGAAATAACGGAAGCTTATTTGGGTGCATTTGGATGTGCAGTCCATATACATTTTGCAGTCTTGACATAGTAAGTCATTCAAAAATTTTGTTTTAGCCACTTGGATCGTCCCTCATTGCCGTGGATGATCAACTTTGAGGGGGTGGTCCTCCACATCACTTATCTTTGCGACTCTCTTTACACCAAGAGTAAAAATAAATTATCCTTCATTGCCATGATGCGCGAATATGTCATGTTCCATTCCAATTCATTTATGAGAATAGTTGACGTGTTTGATTTAGGCACATATATTAAGGAGAGGAGAGAGAGTGAGAGAGAATGAAAAAGCAGGTGAGGTGACTTGTAAATGCAAAGTAAAAAAGTTACCCCAAAAGGAAACGTGTCAACTACAAAAAACTTCCTAAAAAGGAATACGTGTCATTTCAAAAGAAACGGAGGTAGTATATTTTATCAAAAAAATATATTGTTAGATAGGTATTAATATAAAGTTTAATAATATAATTTTAAAAATAATTTTCATTAATATTTAATTATACGACATCCGTTACATATTATTTGCAACGAATAAACATTTTTCCTCTCTACTTTATGTCAAATCGTTGCAAATAATATGTAACGGAGGTAGTATATAAAGATAAAATCAAACTAGTGCATTGACATATGTATAAAGTTGATTGTGTCAAATGTTTAGGGACAAAGGGAGTACTAGAAAACTAATCGTGAGCCGCAGATAATTAAATTTAGTCTTGACAGAAAAATGTCCTAAATGTATTAAATTATTATCCATTTAGCCACCCGATGATGAATTAGTATTCGAGTTGAATCAAGGGGCGGCCAATTGGAATGTATAAACCCTTGCTAGTTTGGCATAAAAGTTGAGCTGGCAGCATAATAATCAATGATATCGTTTCTCTTTAAACAATATATATATATATATATATATATATATATAGAGCCACAAAGACGGGGGTGAGAATCGATCCCAAGATCTCTTGAAATCGGGAGGAAAGCTCTAACCATTTGAGCTATCCCTCAGTATATAGTTTAGCAAGTCAAGTTGTATAGTGGTGGTAGCTAGCTTAGATCTTATTACTTCTTGTCGTCTTAGCATGTAAGTAGACATTCTTGAACAAGTTCAGAGTATATAGTGGAAATGTAGGTGGATGGCCTACTTGTAAATGTGTACACTAGCCTTCTTAAGTGGGAGTGCTCAATAAGTCATTAAGTCTAATGTCCACAAAATTTGCATGCTAAAATATCTTATCTACGTATAATTGCTAGTAAACAATTAATACCCTCAAGTGGTCTGGTTAGAGTTTTTCTCTCGATCCCAAGAGATCTTAGGATCGATTTCTATCACCCGTCCTTGTGGCTCTCTAAAAAAATAAAAATAATAATAAAAAGGTCTAAAAATGTTGTCAATATTGAGTGTAAATACGTTGAACATCAAGAAAAATGTTTTAGAAGTCATATTGAAATTAAATTACAGCCAAAACATAACATTGCATGCAAGCTAAAGATGGATCTTAATCCCTAAAAAAAAAAAAAAGATGATCTTAATTCAGTTTAAAATTTAGTAGCCATTATAATTAACTACAAAGTACAAGTATTAAAAAGTTTTTTTTTATTTGGGATATCATAAAGAGTACTCCATAAAATATAAGAGCAATATATACATAAGTGTACATTATAGTTTAAATATCATATCTCTAACGATATAATGTTTCCAATTAAATTAAATAAGCCTTATACCTGTCTATTTACTATAACTAGTGGTTTGTTTAAGATCAACTTGGCATAATATATTAACAATTGTATTACTGTCTAAATCGAGTTCAAAATCTTAGTTCCATTATATATTACGTCTTATTTTATGTATAACTTGTTATTATTGGTTCAAATCACCACCTTAACAAATTATATTATTAATCTTCACTATTACTTAATTTTTCGAGGTAATTTTTCGACACAAAGTTCTTATTGATGATCGTGTGACAATACAAAATGTTAACATAAGAATTTTTTTAAGAATTATCATCGATTAATTATTTTGGGATATTTTTATGAGTACGTAGTTAATATGCTTGATTTATGATATGGTTACAACTTATATTACTAGGAAATCATGTTAGCTTAGTACACAAAATTATACCAATTCAAGTACTTATCTCTATTAAAATTCATAAAAAAAAAAAGGCCACGACATTTAGAAAGCTTTTCTTGTTAGGAAACTCCTAATGCACACAACATTATCAAGATACTTATTTTGCAATTATACATACATATAGGTAATAAATATCGATCAACAAATGTCGAGTACGCCATACTTAGGTTGTTGATCGGGTGTAAAAAGGCCGTAAGAACGCTCCGATTCATCCCCGGGTTTCTGATCCTCGTCAAACATTGCAAACAAGTATGTTTCAATCTCTTGACCTAGTGTCAAAGGAGTCCCCTTCTTAACATGTTTGATCAAATTGGTGTAGTAAGTCTTTGCATTTTCCGGTGTGGCGGCCTCTTCCACTCCGTTATGTAACTCCCCTCCACACTCTAAGCCCCCGTTCGTTTGGTGGTGCCTTTTTCTACTAGCCTTCATCTTTATTTTTTCACCAAATCCACCTTTCGACGGCCACCCACTTTCCGAGATCACCACCCTAGGTGGCTTGTGCCTCTTGTTGTGCCTACGACCATTATCGACTGAATAGGTGTACTCATCATTAGGTGCATTTGTAACAACTTTTTCTATTGCTACATACATTGCATCATATATTGCGTCGAATAAATTCTGATAATTTTTACCACTATTTTCATCCGTAAATACAATCCCACAAGCAGTAAATAACGCAAAGTCTAGTCTAATATTTTTCGGATCATTCATATAAGTAGTGTAGGGTTGAATATTTACCAACAAAGGCGATTCATTAATTGTTAAGAAGTTTATTATTGGGCCAACATATGATAAGTTTTTAAATTTGGCATTAGATGGTGGATACGAGTTTATGATTAAACTCGTGTCAATGGCCGTTGAAACCTTTATATCACTAGTTATATTGTTAGAATTTAGTGCATTTAATATGTTTTGCATAGCTGATTCGACTGATGAGGCTGGTTGGTCAGACGGATGGATTTCATTTCCGACAACAATGTATTTGATAAATTCTACATAGGGGACGACGTTGTCCTGAACCCATTCATCGGCGATGGGTTGATCACACGCCATACATTCAATTTCTTCATTAGGGACACCCAACATGAGCTTGATGCCTGCTCCTTGTAGGGCTTTGAGTGTCGTTTCATCGGGCTCGTAGAGTCTCATTGCTTCTATGCCGTAGTAGTCGTAGAGTTGTGTTGTATTTTCTCCGCTTGGTAAGTTGTTTCCTTTCCTTCCATAACATACTCCAATTTGCGCTTCTACAATACATTTTGATCATCATTAGTACAAGTTTCCATAAGCTTGCTTAGCTAATTTAGATGAGATAATGAGATTTATGTAATATTTATGTTACATTTTTGCAATAAAAACTTATTATTTGACACATATATGTACAACTTTAAAGCATATTAGATATATATTTTACCATAGAGCCTATAAATTGAATCTAGAGCTGATAATATCTACACGAAAAAAATAAGATGACTCGAATTTAACATGAAATACACGGATAGATAACTTGGTCATCCTACATAAATCAATATTAATCAATTACTACCTCCGATTCATAAAAATGTTACTACTCACTGACACAATAATAGGCAAAATCAAAGATACCTGTAAGATGTAGACCAAGTAATATGAATGATGTGATGAGCAGCGAGGTAGCGGCAGCCATTGGAGGAGGTTTATTTGAAGTCGATCATTTCATTTTTCACATGCCACTTTATATAGACAATTATTAAAGTTATATTAATTAAAGAGTCATAATAATAAAAAAAAGAATAAAAATAAAGTCATAATAATAATACAAGTGTGTTTCTTACAAAAAAAAAGTGTGGATAAATACTCAAAAGGCATGCGGCCCAGAGAGTATACGGGCAATTCGGCCCATTATATTTAGCCATCGAAATAGCAATGATGTTGAAAAACTTCTCGTCAAAAATTTGAACAATTTTTATTTTATTTTATTTTATTATTATTTTTTTTGACAAAAAGAATTTACAAAATATTAATGTGGACTATATGGTGAACCAACATAAATTTCACAAGATTTGTATTATACAGTAGTAAGAATTAATATCACGTAGTAATACATAATATTAATAATAACATAACATTTTGTTCAACTATTATATTTTTTTGTTACATGACTTACATCTTTTCATCAAATAAAAAAAAACATACACATATTTTATTACACCTTTAGGCTATGCCCTTGTATTATATTTCATTTATTCATTATGTATAGTATAAAATTACATATCCGAAAACTAATTAAATAGTTTTCAATTGAAATTAAGTTGGTATTTTGGTTGTTTATTAGGCCTAAACAATCCAAAATTGTTCTCAGTACTAGCACCACCTTTTTTATTCTCATCAAACATTGCAAATAAATACGTCTCAATTGCCTGTCTCTTCAAAGGTGTACCTTGCCTATAATGGCCTATTAAACCCCTATAATACGTCTGAGCATTATTAAACGTAGCAGCACCACGGTTATCACCACCAGCCGAAGGCCAACCGCTTTCGGACACTACAATTGGTACGTTAGGGCCTCCAGCCTTTGCCAATGCAGCATACACCGTGTCGACTAGTGCATCAAATAGGTTTTGGTATTGTAAACCGTTATTTTTATCGGTAACTTGTGCGTTGGGCGAAGTAAATAGTGCATAATCTAGGTTTATAGATGGAGTGTAAAGGTAAGAAAAGTATGGATAAATATTGGCTAATAAAGGAGCGTTATTATTTTTTAAGGAAGTTAACAATTGGATTCATGAATGATGCTGATGTAAATACACCTTCAGAGGGTGGAAAACCGGACACGATTGAACTTATGATTGTTGTAGAGACTTTTATTCTACCAGCTAAGTTAGCTGACCTAAGGGCATTTTGGACATTTTGCATGGCGGGTAGGAGTGATCTTGCCGTGGCATCTGTTGTGCGACAGCGGAAGCAAAGGTCGAAAACAAACAAGAAAACAATAAAGAAATTCAATGCAAACAATAAGAACAACACCAAGAATTTACGTGGTTCACTATCGATGTGATAGCTACGTCCACGGGCACCGAGATCGAATGATTTCACTATAAACTGCAAAGATTACAAAGATGATTCTTGTATTTCTCAAGAACGGCTCTCACTCTCTCTCTCTTCACCCTAATACTGATATTAGGGAGGTTTTATATTAATCCCTAATTAAAAGATACTTGGGCAAAAAGATAATAAAATAAGATAACCTAAAACCGCAAAATCCGCGTTCCGTATTTTTCCTTCTCCGCCCGGTCAGACCGGGCAAGGTCTGCCCGATCGGGCGCGAGAAGAAGACTCCATACGAATGCTTCAACGTATCCAACCCCCACCGCCCGGTCAGACCGGGCAATGTCCGCCCGATCGGGCGGACAAAGCTACGAAGTACGAGTCACCTAATACTTATCAACAATCTCCACCTTGACGAGAACTCGTAGTCAGCAAACGACCCCATCAAGACATAGTGGAAAAACATCTCAAGCCAAACCCGATGCAAGACTCATGCATAAGCCATACATCCCGATAAGTCTTCAACCAAGACCCATCACATACTCGTCTCCAAGTATAACAACTCATAATGCTCCACCTGCATCACAAGCCCCGGGCAAGCTCCACCTTAAGGCCAACACACCTACACCAGGAGCTCCCCAACTTCGCCCCTCAGGGCCTACTACATCACGTAGTAATCAATATTTAGCAAGTCTAAGCAATGTTTAAACTTGCTAAACGGAACAGGCTTAGTGAAGAAATCAGCCGGGTTGTCAGCAGTCCCAATCTTCTTCACCTTAATCCTCTTGTCAGTACGTAAGAAATGATACCTGACATCAATGTGCTTCGTCCGATCATGGTGTACTTGATCTTTAGCTAAGCAAATCGCACTTAGACTATCACAATACACTGTAGCAAAATCCTGTGCAATACCCAGTTCACCTACTAGGCCTTTGAGCCGAATAGACTCCTTAGCTGCAGAAGTTAGAGCCATATACTCAGCTTCAGTAGTTGACAACGTAACTGATGACTGCAATGTAGACTTCCAACTAACCACAGAACCACCCAAAGTGAACACATAACCAGTCACAGACCTCCTGGTATCCACATCAGCTGCATAATCAGAATCACTGTACCCAGTGACCAAGCATTCCTTACCATTCCCGTACACAAGACCAATATCAGCTGTCCCTCTCAGGTAGCGAAAAATCCTTTTCACCCCTTGCCAGTGTTCCCTCCCAGGTCGAGCCATAAACCTGCTTACAACACTAACAGCATGCGCAATATCCGGCCTAGTACAGACCATAGCATACATCAAACAACCAACCGCGTTTGCATATGGAACTCTAGACATATAAGACAACTCCTCCTCTGATTGAGGTGACATAGACAAAGACAACTTACAACTAACAGTAGTTGGCGTACTTATAGGCTTCGATTTTTCCATCCCAAAACGAGACAAAATCTTTTCAATGTAGCTTTTCTGAGTCAAGAAAAGCTTACCTCTAGCCCGATCCCTGTAGATCTCCATACCCAAAATCTTCCTAGCTGCACCCAAGTCTTTCATGTCAAACTCCGAGTTAAGCATCTCCTTTAATCTAGCAATATCAGATTTATTCTTTGTGGCAACCAACATGTCATCAACATATAACAAAAGATAAATCATGGAACCATTATCCAGCTTACTATGATACACACAGCAATCATATGAATTCCTGTCAAAACCTTGTGAAACCATAAAAGAATCAAACCTTTTGTACCACTGTCGGGGGGATTGCTTAAGTCCATACAATGACTTTAGCAATCTGCAGGCATAGTGTTCCTTTCCAGGAGCTTCGAATCCTTCGGGCTGCTTCATCAGAATCTCCTCCTCCAAATCGCCATGAAGGAAGGCCGTTTTAACATCCAACTGCTCCAGCTCAAGATCAAAATGTGCTACAATTGACAATAACACACGGATAGAAGTATGTCGAACCACAGGTGAGAATATCTCAACAAAGTCAACCCCTTCTACCTGACTGAACCCCTTAGCAACTAGCCTAGCCTTAAAACGTATTTGCTCAGTTTCCGACAACCCTTCTTTCTTCTTGTAAATCCATTTACAACCCACAAGCTTCCTCCCTTCCGGTACCTTTACCAGTTCCCACACTCTGTTCTTGTAAAGGGACTGCATCTCTTCACCCATTGCGGCAAGCCATTGCGCAGACTCACTACAACTAATTGCTTGTTTATATGTGGCAGGTTCAAATGACTCTACATCATCAGCTACACTCAATGCATAACCTGTCATCGCATCAACACAGCAATTTCTTCCCTCCATCTCTTCAATCAATCTAACAGGCTTCTTGATAACTCGTTTAGGCATCTCAAGAATGGTGTCAGGTTGACTAGATGACCCCTGATTAGATTGCTCCACCTCATCCCCAGAGTTAGAATGAGTAGGAGTAATCTCAGGTTCAGGAGTACCCGGCACTGGAACATCAGCATCATCATCAATATATTGTACCCGAGGTAAATCAGCAATGGTAGACTGATGTACCTCAAGTACCCCATCTGTCTGTAATAAATTGTCTCCTTCCCTTCTCAAATCTGAAATCTCTGCATTTTTAATTGAATACATGGTGTTTTCATCGAAAGTAACATCCCTACTAAGAATGACCCGACCCTCCGAAGGTGAAAAAATTCTAAACCCCTTCACACCATCCCCGTACCCAACAAAACACCCCTTCTTGGCTCGTGGATCCAGCTTACCCTCAATAACATGATAATAAGCAACACAACCAAAAATCTTCAAATTCGAAAAATTAGGCAACTTACCACTCCAGATCTCAAACGGAATCTTGGAATCAATTCCAGAATGAGGACCCCTATTAATGACATAACAAGCTGTTAACACAGCTTCACTCCAGTACCTCCTCCCAAGCCCTGCATTGGAGAGCATGCATCGGACTCTCTCTAGCAGTGTCTGATTAACCCGTTCTGCTACACCGTTCTGCTGTGGTGTCTTCCTGACAGTATGATGCCGACCTATACCCTCATCTGCACAGAACTGATTAAACTCGTCTTTGCAAAACTCTAGCCCATTGTCCGTTCGTAGCTTCTTGATCTTCCTTCCTTGTCGATTTTCCACCAAAGCTTTCCATTGCTTGAAAACTTTGAAGGCCTCATCCTTTGACTTAAGCAACCTAAGCCATGTGTATCGGGACTTGTCATCAACAAATGACACAAAATAGTGGTAACCTCCCATACCTTCAACTCTAGATGGACCCCAGCAATCTGAATGGATGTAATCGAGCACTGCATCAGTAATGTGAGCACCCTTGCTGAACTTTGACCTGTGTTTCTTACCAAACACACAATGCTCACAAAATTCAAGGTTGGCAACCTTGACCCCGGATAGAAGACCCCTCTTGGACAATAGCTGCATCCCCTTCTCCCCCATATGACCAAGCCTCATGTGCCAAATCTTAGTCATCTCCTGGTGAGATACAGATGCGCAAACCGCAGAACTAGGCAGTGTAACACCCTCAAAAACATAGAGGGTGTTCCTTTTGATACCCTTAAGTACCAACTCAGAACCTCTGAAAATACACAACTCCCCATCTGAAAACACACCATTGTACCCCAATTCATCCAGGGTACCCAATGAAATCAGATTCTTTCCTAAAGCAGGAACATGCCGTACATTAGTCAAAGTTAACCTCCGCCCATCAACAGTCCTCAACCTCATGGAACCAATACCTGTGACCTTACATGGAGCATTGTTACCGACTATAACCATACCCCCATTGCGAGGTTCATATGTATCAAACCAATCTCGACGTGGACACATATGGAACGAACACCCCGAATCTAGAACCCAGTTATCAGATAAATCATCAGACCTAGCAGAACTGACTAATGCTAAATCTTCCTCTGAATTATAGCTCTCATTCGGTTTCTCTTCAACTACAGCAGCCTGGGACTTGTTTTTCCTCACCGGACAATTATTCCTAAAGTGACCCGGTTCTTTACAGTAATAACATGTTTTAGTAGTAGTTTTACTAGATCCATCCTTGCCGTTTCCAGCACCCGACCCAGCATTGTTCCCCTTGTTAAACCCCTTATTCTTTTTAGACTTTCCGGACTTAACAAATAACCCACTACCATTATCCCCATTATCACTCGTAGCTTTCATTCTGAGTTCCCTAGTATGAAGTGCTGCCTTCACTTCTTCTAAGGTTATAGAATCCTTACCAACAACAAAAGACTCTACAAAATTCTCAAAGCTAGACGGTAGAGATACAAGTAAAATCAACGCAGCATCCTCATCATCAATTTTAACATCTAAATTACGTAAATCAAGCAAAATAGAGTTAAGTTTTTCTAGATGTTCCCGTAAGGAAGTACCTGACTGCATCCGGAGGCTAAACAACCGCTGTTTCAGTAATAATTTGTTGGTCAACGACTTAGTCATATACAATGACTCCAGCTTCAGCCACAATCCAGCCGCCGTTTCCTGATCAGCAACCTCCGTGATGATTTGATCATCAAGACTAAGTAATATGGTAGAGTGTGCCTTCTCTTCCATAACTTCTAACTGCGAGTCAGTCGGTCCGTCTCCTGACTCCGAAGTAGTACTCTTTGGAGCCAACGGACGCCATATCTGCTGTTGTTTTAACAGAGCCTTCATCTTAATTTGCCATAGCCCGAAACTATTTTTCCCGGTAAACTTCTCAATTCTTATTGTTGAATCTCCTGCCATTGTTATCTTCAAGAAACTCTCCAAGGATTGAACCTGAGCTCTTGATACCAATTGTTGTGCGACAGCGGAAGCAAAGGTCGAAAACAAACAAGAAAACAATAAAGAAATTCAATGCAAACTGTTTGGGTCCAATTTAGTCCAATTGGGCCTGGTCACTGAATGATCC